TCACAATTTTACCAGGCTATTGATGTGCATTAGCAGGTACAGGCAAACATAAATAAATAAATGAATAAATAAAAATAAAAAAACACATTGCCACTTATTTCTTCCTCTTTCCTCAGTCTCCTCTCATTGAGACCAATTAGGCATACTTTATAGAGTACAGACATTTTCTTCACTACATCTTCAACGCACGCACGCCAGACTCAGGGACCTCAGGGGGAGGTTGTAAACAAACAGTCACTTGGCTGGTGCCCTGGTGACTCTGCTGAGCAGGGAGGAGGTATAGAATTTGTGAAAGGAACATGTGTTGAAAATGGCCGACATCGGAGTGGATAGATAGAGGTAGGGACGAAGGACGGGCATAAAAAATGATGCAATGACACTAAAATGAGCTTTAAGAACAAAAACTTGATAGCAAGACAGCTGGTGTAGAGAAAGGAGAAAAAACAGATGAAAGAAAAAGAGATGGTTTTAGAGAAATAGGTGCAGTTCAATTTCAGCCTTTCCTCTTGCTTAAAAAAAGACTGTGCCAAGAGCAACATTCTGGTGTCATGTTTGACTGTTCACATTTATTACTTATCTCCAGCCCCCTCCTGCTGTGGCTGTCTTTGCATCTGAATCAATTTTCCCTGAAGGCAATATTTTAGGGTTAAGCACGAAAATGTGAGACATTATGAAGCTGTAGTGAAAGGGCTGCTGCATGTATACAAATGAGTGTGTGTGTGTGTGTGTGTTTAAAAGAACACCACTGTTGGTTTGAACCTGTTTTATACTCTACTTGCCTTTATGCTGTTTAAAATGAATTCGTTCTGAGGAAAAAAAAAGTCTAATACCTGACATGAATAAAATACTACATAAACATGCAGATGCCCCATTTTTTTRTTCTAGAACTCCAATAAAATGTGCTGCTTTAGGTGATCACATATAGTCCTGTCTCAATAGGGACAACAACAAAAAATGCTACTCAGAAAATAGGAATGAAAACTTCGCTAGACTAACACAGGTCAGATTTAACCTTCATATCACCAGTACCCATTGTCTTTTGATTGCCTATTGAATGTATGACAAAGAAGACGTTTTACTTTAAGACCTGACTAATAGAGTCAAATGCATTCCAGGTGACTTTTAGAGCCAGTGACGGTGAGTGCGCCTAACCTTGCAGCATTAGCTGGTTCATGCTCCCTTAATTTTTGCAGGAGATATTTCTGGCAGCTGCATCAGAAATGAATCATGTGAGGCTAAACTTTAACTGTAATCATAAGACAAAAAAATAAATTAAATTAAATATAACACTAAAATAAAACACAAACACTGCAGGGTGACACACATGTCAACAGGCTGCTTTAAACTATCGACACAAATGTTTAGCTGCCCCCTTTTTACCTGATGTGTAAAAAGGGGGCAGCCATGGTAAGGTTATAATTACTGTGAAACTAAAAATAAAGAAGCCATTGGACTACAACTATGATGGTTTTTGTTGATATCTCAAGTTAATGCAATATATTTATTAGTGCTGGGCGGTATACCGTTTTGTACCGAATACCGGTTTTTATTTTTGTTATGATATGAATTTTTTGAATACCGGACAATCCGGTTTAAATAGCAGAACGTTTCGTCGCGGCCGCCAGTGAACTGTTGTTTCCCAGGGGACATTTTTCCTTGCTGCACCGTTGTGTTAGCATGCTAATATTTGGAGCAGCTAGTTGCAGCAGCGGGTGGCGATTCCCCTGCTTATATTGACTGACGTTTAAAAAAAAATCCCGTTTTTGCCGTCGCTGAATGTGGTAAACAACTCTTCAGTGATGTGCACAGTTAGATTTAACARGGTTAGTTAATATGAAGACGTTATGCTGATGGAGACTTAACGTGGTTCTATTGTGAAAAGCCTGCGGGAAGTAGTTCATAGTGGAGTTGGAATTGACTGGTGTGCAAGGTGAGTCGTGCTGATAAGCTTTAATAAATAACATAAAACAATAAACCCGATCATAATSTTTTCTTAACCCTCCTCCTTCACGACTGGACCAAAATGCGTGACTACTGTCTCCAACCACCAGTCAGAGAAGAACAGACACAGAGGAGGGAAACAGCGACACAGACAGAGGTACAGTAAAAGGAAAAAAGTCAATAAGCAGTGTTTGTACATTTTATTATCACCTGAGCTGTGATGAAAAGAAAAATGCCATCAAATACCGTGAAAAGTTGAAAATACCGTGATATAAAATTTTGATCATATCGCCCAGCTCGAATATTTATCACAATTAACGGTGAAATAATCTGTGCATTGAAATCTGTGCATTAAATAAAATATGTCTTCATAATAAATAAGAAAATACTACATTAATTCTAAGACTGCATGTCTGCTCAGAATGRCCACATGGAGAAAACATCAAAATCTCTAAATTTTAATGCCAAAACTGAATCATTCATGATCTAAAATTTCAGATATTTTTATCTAATCACTTCTGATTGTCTTTTGACCAGCTGCTGAGTGGCACAAACAAATGATTACCGACATTTTTTAAATACACTCTTCATAATTTCCGTAAGCCAGTTAGAATTGAATGATGTAATTTAAAGTTTTAACAGTTATTTTTCACAACATTGCTTCAACTCAAGGCACAAATTGATTAAAATGAGAGAATACTTGTTGGAAAAAAACTGTCACTTTACTTTGAAGTGCAAACAATTAGTAATCAAGCAAATCTAAACAGTGGATGATTCAGATGTGATTCATAAAAAAAGATAAATCATGATTCATTGACAGGACATTCCTGATTCACTTTCTACTTATTCAACCTGATTTACATTTTTTTGTCAAGCTTTATCAGGTACTTCCCCACAGTAAAGCACAAACCCACTCTTGAAGAATTAGACTCCGTCTCCCCGGCTCCTTTTTTTTTCCATCTAATGATGCCATGACTAAAATGTTAATTACAGCTTAAAAGAGAGATGATTGCGAATATAAAATAGCAATTAGCATGTATCATAGTCACCATCATTACTACCATCATCTGCAGCAAAAGACGGAAAATTATTTACCAAATAGTGAAATGCTCATCATTTGCTTATTCAGAGCACAAAATGTTTCAGAGGCAGTGTTGGAAATGAAATCATTCCTCCTTAAATTTGCATAATTAATGTAGCCTAAAAAAATAACTGTTGCAGGGRCCAGAGCATGAAAACAAACAAACTGTGCTCACTGGAAATCAGCACACACAAACCCAGGACACTAAAACTGAACCTATCTTGTGTCATTGCATTGTAGAGATATAAACCTTGATAAATAGTAAGACGCACAAGTTTAAAAACAAACATTACATGTACACTGTGTCCTTTCCTCCTGTGCATGCAGTGGAATCTCTCTTCCATGGCTCAATTACTTCCCTGARGACATTTAAAATATTCTTTAAATTGTCATCTCCATACATGAGTTCAGTCTGACAGATTCTGGTCATATTCCCCAGATGAGCCTATTATCCTCCTTTCAATCCATGCTGAACAAAATGTCTWCTCCATTTTGTCCTAATCTGACTATTGTGTTAAAACCTAAAAAGGTCATTTCACAACTAAACCACCCAGAGGACACATTTTTGACTTTGGATTAATAAAGCAATTATATTTCCTTTCCTATAATGGTTCCATTATCTCCCTCTTGCTACCTCCGAAGTGGAACCTGCAAATATATTGTCTAACAAGTATGTGAAGTACATTCCAATATAAGTATCTAATTGAGARACAGCATGTCTTTTTGAGTGTGGTTCTGAGGAAAGACTATGAACAATCAGTATCCAACCTGTTGAATATAATTTCTTGAARAGCTTCACTTTCTCTAAAAATAGAGTTTAATTGAAACCAAACAGYTACACTGACAACTAGTTTAACCTAGACCAGGGGTGTCAAACTCATTTTCACTGAGGGCCACATGAGAGTTATGGTGGACCTCAAAGGGCCACTTGTAATGAACTTTGACGTTTCATATTTAATTTTTGACTAAACAGTGTTTAGTCAAAACTGACATGTCCTCTTTTAAACATTGATGAGAACTAAGTGTATGACTGACTAAATCTGAAATAAATACAGAAATATTAAAAGTAAAACTAATAAAGTTTTACTCACTGATTAGTTTGTAGTGAGTAGTTACGGAAGATTTAGTTTATGGTTGATGCTGACTTTAAATCAGCTTATTTTCAGACATTAATGCTGTGCTATCCAACTAAGTTACTTAAAGCCAACAGCTCAGGGGCAGGACAATTACTATCTTTCACCTTTTTAAATTTATTTTGTTGCATTTAATCATAAATTTAAAGT